ACTCGATTCGAAAATTCATGAGTCTAAAATTTTTAAGCTCGACTCGAATTCGAAAAGGTACGAATTCAAAAAAAATTTAAGAGCTCGATTGAAGCTCGATTTTGAGCTCGATTCAAGCTCGAACTCAAACTCGAATTTGAACTCGATTCAAGCTCGAACTCAAACTCGAATTTAAACCTACAAAAATCTTATATTACATTTAAAATATATAAATAATTTTTCCTTTAATCAACCATCACCAGTACATTATAATATGAATATATGAACTATAAAAAATCTAAAAAATAAAAATACAATTACAAGAAATTTAGGATAAATTCTTTTTGAAATTCAATCCAAAATCCAAATTAAATGCCTGGAGTCCCTTTACATTAAACCCAAATTAAATTAAAACACTAGTCCTACGTGAAACACGACAACCAAGCAATAACTCCCATACCCTGTTGCCCAAGCACCACCCATGAGCAGACAAAGGCTCGGCTCCCCATCCAGTCACCTATGCTCCCACGTGAAGAACAACAACTAATTAATTGAGTTGCATTGGTCTTACCAATTCCAACACCCCACCGTGCCCATATCTGCCATGCCTTGCTCTACAAGACCCCAAGTCATACTGTCGGTCACGAAGAGGAGACCGATGCACTGTTCATACCCTCCATGCTCAGGGGGGACGAAAACCATAATCAACAACAGAAAAAAAATCAACATCAAATAGAGGCATCAATGATTAGCAAGAAAACACTTGCTCAGTTCTTTTTCTTAATCTCCAGTTACCCATTCAAGTTCCATTTCAGTAAGCCTCAAATAACTAATATAATGCCAAGGCAATTTCTCACAGAAGAAACAACTGTGTGAGATCAAAACAAAGTGATAATAAGCATACCCAATATAATATTTAAACCTTTATCATTTCCAATCTTGTGAAGCAAAATGTCAAAATTACTTTGAGAAATGTGGATATCTAACCATGTCTGAAATTTCAATTATTAGAAATGTAGTGGAGACAGACAGCAGGAGGACGACGACACCGCCACGAACGCACAACGCATTAATATCAAACAAAAAGAGAACATATAGAAGAACAATCATACAAAGAACTAAATCACAGTGAATATTGTGTGGTTAAAGAAAATTTGCAGACATGTCCGACGGGGCGAAAAATAAACAAATCAAAGATTACCGTCGAAAAATTCAAATCCCCAAAGGAAACTGTCAAAATCATACCTCTGCAAAGTGAAGAAGATTTGATGAATCGATATTTTCCCGATTTACACGCTTCCTGTTTAACTCAGAATCCGCCCTTTAGACTTAACTAGTTCTTCTTTGGGTCCAAAGCCAACCACAACTTGTTTGTAGAAGGTTCTTGTTTGAGCCTCACTGTCAAAAATAAGGGGTTTTATAATAGTCAAACTCATCGACCTTAGAAGTTGGGGGTCGTTGTATGTAGTCTTAGTGTTTGGGGGTTTTATAATAGTGAAGATAGAAGAGTTTAAGGTTGAGTAAGGCTTGTGTTTGGGTTAACCAGCCGTTGCTAATGGCGTGATTGCGTGCGAATGAGAGGGGGGAGAAGGTGAGGGCGTGAGGCTTGACTTCTTGAGCGGTTGAAATGAATATTTAGTTTAGGTTTGTTTTAATTTAGGTTCTAAACCCTAATTAACTTTGGGGTGAATTATCGTTTAGCCACCGTAACCTAAGGGGTAAATTAGCTTTAGGCTCTCTAGATTTATGCATTTTGTACATTTAAACCCTAAACTTTAAACCTTAACCCCTAACATATAAACCTAAACCCTAAACTCTAAACCTTAAATCCTATCACATAAACTCTAAATCCTAAACTCTAAACCCTAAACCTTAAAACCATAGCACATAATTAGAAGGAATGAGATGGCTTAGTGAAACGAGAGAGAGTAGACTTGTTTTTCTTTCTTAATTCTTTATAAAAATCGGTTACACTTTATTTTGATATATTTTTTTTAAATTATTAATATTTAAATTGAAACATATTTTTTATTATATTATATTTATTGTCAAATAAAAAATTAGTTATGAGGTAAGTACAATATAATATCTTGTTATTAAATGCTCAAATCCTTGATATTTATGATATTTAAACCCAAAACCTGAAAATATAACAATTTAAAAAATTAGTTATTACAAATATTATCATTAGAAAATATTTGTTATTAGATAAATAATTTTTTTTATTAATTTAAAATAAATATAAGAATATTTATTCAAAAAAATGTAAACATTTTCAATTCAAGAATATTTATTCATCAATAATGTATTTTTAATATATTTTTAATAATGTAATTTTAAAAAATCAAAAATTATAATATAACATTTTTTTCGAGCTGCTCGCGAGTTTTTTGAGTCGAATATCGAGTAGCTCGTTTCGGCTCGTTAAAACTCGAGTCGAATCTATTCGATTCGAGTATTTATCGAGTCAAGATCGAGTCGATCTCGAGTAGCTCGCGATCTGTCTCGTCTCATTTACAACCCTAGAGAAGAGTAGCTTTTTTTTTGGCATGGTGTCGTGCTACTGCGTGAGATGTACCATGCTGAAAAAAAGAAAGAAAAAAAAGATAGGATTAATATAAAAATAAATGTTTAAACTTTGTTTCAAAATATGTTTTAGTGTTAAAAGAATTTTTTACTAAAATAGATGTCTAAAGTTTTCTAGATTATACTTTTAAGTGTATATAATTTATTTTTTAATTTTCTAATAATAAAAATATTATTTTTAATTAAAAAAGGAAAAAAATAAAAAAAGGTTTAATTTATTTATAAAAAACTCAAATTTTCATTCATATTGCAAAAAATCCTAAAAAATAAAATCTCTCATTTCAACTCCATTATCAACCGTCGTCTACCATCTCCGGCCACTATCGTCATCGTCGAACGATCACCCACCCGTCGTCACCCACCAATTGATCAATTGTCATCCTTACCATCACTCAAAATCCCTAAATCTAAAACACCAAAAACAAATCCCTAATTCTCAATTTCAAATTCCCAACCCAAACGGTCGCTGACCATCATTGTCATTGTCGAATGGTTTAATTTTGATTGGAATTGCACAGTGATTCAAATGGTGACGTTGGTGTGGCTTGTGGATGTTGAAATTAGCTGGAATTGACGAAGAATAGCGATTAAGACTTAAAAACCGACGAACCTTTAAGCGTTCCTCCACAACAAACGGTGACATATTACGACAAAAGGTCAACCAGAGTTTGATATGGGGTCGACGTTGATGCTGATGACGGTGGAAATGACAACTACAGTTGGTTGGTCGATGTCAATGGAAGGGGAAAAGGGGGAGGGGGCTGCAAGCACAGGCTATTTTTTTTACAGTTTTTTTAAAATAAATTCTCAAAATTATCAGAACGGGACATGTGTTACTTAACGTAGATATTTAATGATGTCTAACGTTTAGGCACCTAAAAGTATAATGTTTGAAACATTCGGCACCTTTTTTTAGCAAAAAATTCTTTAGGTACTAAAACGTTTTTTGAGGTATAATTTGGACACTTATTTTTGTATTAAGCCAAAATCTCTCGTAATTGTTTTTCTCTAAATGCGGTTCTTTAACTTAGAAAACAAACTTAATGTGGTCATTTGACTAATGTTTTTCGTTGTTGACCTTTACAATATTGGCGTGCCGGTTTATGGTGTTGGCATTGCGGTCCATGGCAAATTAATGAGGTGGATAACATAGCGGATGTGTTAAATTGGTAACTCAAACATGACAGATGAACTGTCACGTCAGCACCATAGATCGCCATGTTAACTCCGTGAATTGACACACCAGTGCTGTAATAGTCAATGAAAAAAACATTGGTCAAAGGATCACATTGAGTTTTTATTAAAAATACAGAAACCTCTTACGGTTTTTGGCTAAAAAAAATGAGTAATCGAGAATCAACCAAATTGTAAAGGATATATTACATAAATGACCACTGAAGTTCAAACAATTTTTTTGTTCTTTCCCCTATTAATATTTCAAAAGTAATAATTTGATCAGTGACATTATCGATTTACAATAAATTAATCACTTGACCATTAATAACTATTACCCAGACAATAAAATATTGATGTGGTGGCATATTACATCGACTGACTTGGCACTGTTCGACCATGTCAGACAATAATTTTGATTGGTGTTTAACTAATCTTTAAAGAGGGCCCAAACGTTACGATTTACAACGGCCCAATGAAACTGCAACAGCCCAACGCACTTGTAACGACCCAACTGGAATCAGCTTGAAACATAATTCCTTTAAAACACTTATTTGTTTTCGGGTTGTCATAATGTCGTATATAATGGCCGATCTAAAATATTTTTTAGGGCAGATATTCATAAATTAATTATTATAATTTTTCGTATGAGATAGATATAATAAAATTTCAGGTTGAATATCAACAATAAAATGAATAATTAATATAAAAAGTTTAATTTTAAGATAGACACATGTATACCGTTAATTTTGCTTTGCATTCACCACCGGTTGTCTATGTATATGTAGGGCATAAACTGACTTCATCCCATCGTCTTCAAAAAGTCATTTACATAAAGCAGCAAGTAAAATTAGATATATATCAAATCAAGATTGGATCCTAAGATCTTTTGCAATCAAAATCAACTTTCTGAGATTGGAATAATACCTCCTACTTTTCAAACTAGCACCAAATACACGTTTTAGAAAAGATAGTATAATTATAATGAAAAATGATTATAAGGTGATATAAAGTTCAAAATATTTTTTAGTTATTGATAATGTTTTATATTTCTTATAAATATAATTATTCGAATCTAAATTATTTAAGGATAACAATATTTCTTTTTACCGTTGAGACTATTCAATAGTTTCAATGTTACAAAAAGCTCATCTTTTATTTAAAAACAACAGCAAAAAAATTGTATATATTATCTAAATGAAAAAAGTATAAAAGCTTAAAAAAAGAGATTTAATTAGGCCTATGCTTTGATTGCAGAGGAATCATCACAGTCCAACACACTATTCTTTTAATTTACTAATTTAATAGAAGGGAGAGAGGAAAATAGAGGCAAAATCCGGCACACATCACATGTAGGGGAGACATTGATATCTTCCCCATGTATATGATACAAGATATGGAGGGAATTCATCACACACACAAATATATATTTGTTTTGGTTTGTTGTATTTATGTCTGGGTTCAATGGTGTTGTGTCGCGGCTCTCGCCGGCGGTGGAGGCTTGCACTGATAGCACTTGGCGAACAAGCCGAAATTGTCGATTTGGTTGACGAAGTTGGTCATGCTAGCCCATCCACCGAACCCGAACCCGACCACAAGAACCCACACCACAACGAAGGCATTGAATGCATACATTGCATTCCAGCTTGGCATGAAGAACGGAGGCTTTTCTGCTGCATTCTGTTCATCACATAACGTTTAATTAATATTTATAAGATTCGAACTCGAAATCTGAGATTACGAATCAGACTCAGGCGGAAGGAAACCAGTCGAGTCAGTCGGGCCAGCTCATGTACAATGAAAGACAGTATACAACACTGAAACTGTACTCTGTAGCAAATAACTAAATGAAAACGACGGCCCAACTATCCAATTCTTCTCGTAATGTTTCCAAATCCAAGCCTTAATTGCTTTTGTACATTTCCTTTTGTACAATTACTGTGACCACTTTTATTTTTGGTACCCCTAACGGAGAAAGATAACTACAACTTGAACCATACATAAAGTGATCACAGGCCGGTGGGACACAACAAGATAATGGTCTTAGTACCTATTTAAAAATATTTTTTTAGAGTATATTAATAATATAGAATTTTGAATGTATAATTATATATAAAATTTTAAAGTAAATATCATCAATATATGTAATTAATCAAACAAAATTTAAATTTTAAGATAAATGTTTAAGATGTGGATCCGTCATTGCGATTAGTAATGGTGGTTTGATTTTCTTTTACCTGTCGAGCGGAGGCTTTTCTGTAGGTGAGCATATGGGCTAACGCCGGGATGATGTAGACGGTGAAGCTAACCAAAAGAGCACCGACGGCGGAGTTTATGGGGCCGAAGAATGGGAAGATGATGGCAAGGAACCAGATCGGGATCACGACCGGCAGCCTCGCCAGTGCCCTCAAACATATGCTTTTCGTGTCGTGCATTCCGATCACCTTCTCCCACACGAAGTACAACGGAGTGCATGCGAACCCGAATGTTATGAACTGCAAAATCATTTTCATGGCGTCACCGTCACACTCAAACTGTTAAACATTGCGCATCCAAATTAACCGCAAGTTCTTACTATGGTTTAAAAAAGATGAACCTGGTGAATAAGCATTAAGATAACGGCGGCGTCACGGAAACCCGTCTTGGGGAGGAGAGAGAAGGCGTTGGAGTGATTGAGAAGCTGGTCCCCGAATGCCCAGTAGACGGCGGAAGCAGACGGAAGGGTTAGGGTAAATACGTATAATGTGGCGAATAAGTATATGTACTTGAACTTTTGAGGCTTCCACATTGCATGCATGATTTCCCTGAAAAAAAGATGACCAAAAGTAGTTTGGTTTCCATGATTTTTCCGTCAAAAGCAGCAAAGGGAAGAAGAAGAAAGGGATTAAAGAAACAAAAGCTTACACAGTCACAGCATGTCCCCCGAAGGTGTAGAGAATGTTGGTGGCTCCGGTGAAGTAAAGCACCAACTTTGTCGGACCACTGTGCGTTACACCATCAACCTGGCCGTGAGCCCAGGCGGCGATGGCCAAGTACCAGGCGGTGTAGGTGGTCATCCCCAGACCTAGAAAAGACCAAATGCGGTAGTTGTGGAATGAAGGAATGAAAACGGTGGTTGCACAGCAAGCTCCAAAAATATACGTCCATGTCCTCTTGTCCAATTTGTCGTTGATGTAATAAATATTACTGTTCATCACACAAAGTAACAAAAATGGTCAAAATTTAAAAAAGATAAAAAAAAAATTCCAGTTTCAGAATCTGCTTAAATTTGATGTTTACAGTTTACTAACCTTGCACAAGCTATGAGTTGTATGACTGATCCGAATAAGAGGAAGGTACAGTTGAATGCAAGTCCAGCTGCCTTCCAGTAAGGACCCAATAGGCCATCGAGCACTTCAAACCACTTCAAATCCAAAAACAATTATCAAAAACAGTGATCTTTGTGATATTTTTCTAGGTTTTTTTCCTAATGAATTACGAGAAAGACGAACCTGGATGACATGGTTCTTGAAGCTGACGTTCTCCTTCTCTTTCCTGCTTCTGTACTCTATGTAGAGCACACTGATGAGATAAGCAGTCCAGCTTCCTAACAGTCCATAGAATATCTGGAGGAGAATACCCGACAGCATACCCAGTTGAGAGAAAGAAGAGGGCAGTGTCAACAGCACTTGTGCTACCTAAGAAGAAGAAGATTTTTGTGATCAGTTTAGCAGTAAATGGAAATGATGGGGGGTGAAGTGTGATTTAAGGATAGTTGGGGTACTTGATTGGAAGCGCAGCTGAACCAGGCATCCCAAGCTGAGCCGCCGTGCCAGAAGAAGTTTTTAACACTAAACAATGATTGCTGTTGGTCTTCGTCTTGCTCTTTATCTTCTTCTTCCCTGGTCTCTAGCTCCATCTCGATTATGTTGTTGGAGACTATTGCTTCTTCTGCTTGCTTCTGAGGCAACATTGTTCTTAATTCTGCTCTAAATCCTTGTAGATCTGAAACATATAAACAACAGTTAACGAGACAAAAAAGAAAAAAAAACGTATAATCAAAGGACTAAAACTTCCATTCATTCCATAGAAGCACTTTGAACGAACCTTGTTTCTGAGTTGTCTATTTCGAGTCAAAGGATTGAAGAAAATCAAGCACAGATCTTTTCTCCTTGACATGAATGGGCTATGAAAATCGCCATTAGGAGAACTTGCAGACAGAGCTTTTTATATGCTTCCTGAAGTAATTGCGTCTCTCAACAAAAACCGAAACTTTAGCCGCACAGTGAAAAGCTCCAAACTTTAATGCAAACACCAAATTTTCTCAGCAAGGAAAACTGTGCCTCACCCAAAGACGGCGAAGAACCTTAAAAGCCACTCTCTTTCCTTTAAATCAAACACCCAATTCAATGGACTTACCAAAAGGCACTCTCTTTAAGCTTCTATTCAACTAGATATATATATATATATATAGTTTGTTTTGGTACATTCCAGGATTACTTGTTCATTTCTTCATCTGAACTTTTTGTTTCCACTGCTCTTAAATTTCGAGAGAGAGATATATATATATATTTGTATTTGTTTTTTTTTAAGAAATGCTTCTGTTGGTGTTGAAGTTCAGATCCAAATCTGGGTCAATTTCATTAAAAAGAAATAATTTCCGGGTCAATTAAATTCTTGTGGTATTTTGTTTTCTAATGCTGGGTTCATTTGATTTTTGTATTTGGTTTTGTTTTAAATTCATGGAGGGTTCATCAAACTCCTTGGTTTGTCCCCTCAACCCAATCATGGAGTTCCCCACTCAGTGTTGCCGACGCGTGCATTTACTTTCAATGATTGATTGGACAATTTGAGGACTCTAAGAGGAGTTTGTGACGCACGTTCCATAAGTGGTTTGTGGCTTTACCCAATATAAAGATGCCATGAGAATTCTTTCAATAATGTGCTGTAAACTCAAGTGAAATTACTCAAATATTACATTTGGGTTTTTTTAATTTTAAAAATTATTTTTATTTTTCAATCTATTACATTTGTTCTAATAAAATTAGAGTCGGTCGAATGATATACCCATCTCATTATTTATTTTATTTTTTATTAATTAAAATATTTAAGGTCGATGAACTTACATACCGACTTCACTTTGTGGAATAAACAATTTACTTTGTAAAATAGTGTGTTTTTAATTTAAACATTCACTTTGTGGAATAAATATTTATAATATATTTTTAAATTAGAGAATAATGAATATTAAAGTCGACATGTACTTCAAATGAATAATAACATTCGTATATAATTCAGCTAATTTCACTTTTACTATAACAAATGTAATATATTAAAAAATAACGACGTCTGAAAATAATTAAATTAAATTTTTATTAAGCAAAAATCATTTTATAACTAATTATTTATTTAATTGTTGTTGTATTTGTAAAATAAAAAAATACAATTTTTTATGTATGAAAATTTATATTATTAAATAATAAAATTATGTTTTATTAATGATGTGATTTAAGCATTTAATAATTATTTAAAAAGTTTAACCGTAATTTAAAAATCATACATTTATAATATTATAATATCATATCAAATAATTTTTAATTTATATGGTAAAAATTTAATATTTATAATATAAAATTAAAAGACGATATTTATTTTATCTATATCTATTTTATTTTCAATTCAATGAACTTAATAAAAAATATTTCAATTAAAATTAAAAGTAAAATTAAATTTTAGTTATAACTGAAGCGGCGCAGACTCTTGCTGTTACTGATGCCTTGGGCGTGGAATTTACAGGGCCGAGTGAGGTTGTGCAGAGGCTAGAAGCGATCTAAGGGGTGAGTTTTGTCTCCGTGTTTTCAGTGTTTCTGTTTGTGTTTGTCTCGGTGGGAGTTTATTGTTTTCATGGTTACTAGCTTAGTTGCTTTATCCTGGAATGTCAGGGGTTAAGGAAATCGGAAAAGTTTAGAGAACTTCATAGGGTATTGATTCAAATAAGATTAATCTGATTTTACTTCAAGAGACTAAGGTTGCTAAATTGAGTGGTTTTGTGAGAAGAAGATTAATAGGGCATTTCGATAAAGAGATAGCCTTTGTTCCTGCTGTTAGGGCATCGGGGGGCCTGATTTCTATGTGGGATAGAAATGTAATCGTTGTTAGAAGCCTTTTAGAGTTTAGGAGAGTGTTAGCTATTAAAGGGACTTTAGTTGCGTCTAACAGGCTGTAACACCCCTAACCCGTATCCAACCCGGATACGAGTCCGAAGTGTCACATTGACTTTTCAAACATTTATTCGTATAAAATAGTGAGTAATTTTAAAAAAATTTATAACATTTAACTTATTCAAAACATTTACAAAACTATTCAGAGCTTATACAATATATTCTTTTGATTACATGCCAATTAGAACTTTATATACAAAAATACATATTATTCACCTCTCTTCTGATCTGACATTCGGTAAGGAGAACTGACCTGTCTTGTTCCTCTTTACTTCTCTTTTCGCTTTCCAAACCTACGTGTGAAACAATCACACGCTAAGTCGATGACTTAGTGAGGCATATAAAACATATAATATTTCATATAACATAAAGCATACATAAACATATACCATCATTATCATAATCTCTATCATTATCATTAAGAAACACATATAACATCATATGGTTCATGTAACACATTTCAAACCACTTACTTTTGATAACCATTTATAAACCCATCGTATACATATCACATTCAATATGTTTGTTTAATCTCTTTATTAGCCCATGTACACTAGTGAGAACTTAAGGTATGTGAGTACATTGAGGTTGTGCACACATATGCTGTCACCACAGCTCATATAAATGTCCCGAAGGACCTATCCAGAGGTCATAAAGATCCTCGGTAACTGTCCATAGGTTCCTAAGAACCTAGGTAAACTGTCCATATGTTCCTTAGAACATAGGTATACTGTCCATATGTCTCGAAAGACATAGGTAATTCTTTCCATATGTTCCGTAGAACATAGGTATACTGTACATATGTCTCGAAAGACATAGGTAATTCTGTCCATATGTTCCGTAGAACATAGGTATACCCTCGACTCTTGACATGCCAACTATACCCTTAGCTCTCATATCACATAACATGGGCATTATCATTTATAACATTTCATTTCATATCATTTATAACATGGGCATGTATTCACGTAGATCATTTCATATGACTTATATCATTTCTCATTTGTTCATGTAACTCGCATGTCATATCATGTAACATATAACACATAATCATATAGGCTCACGGTTTTATCACCTATCATGTTATTTCATATATACACTTTTATATCGCATAAACTCATATATATCATATCACCTATAATAACATATGACACATATACCCATAACTTCATATCACATACTTATATCAATTCACACTTAGTCACATGGGTCATTTCTCATAACATATATCACGTCACATATGTTCATGGGTATATCCCATAGCATATAAAATAACATATAAACTTATATATGTATTCATGTGTATACTTTCATTTAGCCTATATATCAATGTCATATAACTTATCTCATAACTTATTTGATATTCATATATATTCTCATCTTATAACTTATATTACCTATGCATATAACCTTATGACTTATTATCAAGTACTCAATTAATGTTCTTATATGGTTCCATCTTTATCATATAACCTATGAGCTATTCTTATATTACCCTATATCAACCATACTTTGTTTATCTCACTTTTCATATCATTCATTTATCACATATATGTCACTTTGCTTATAACACTTCTCTGGTTTTCATATGACATGTAAATCATTGTCATCTCTTGTTCTCATATAATTTCATATAGTCACTTATCACTTATCACATAGTTTACATCCTATGATCATAGAATCATATCAATAACACATATACTCATGCACACATATAAATCATAACAAACACATACCTCTATGAATTCATGCATTTTACTATTGGAAATAGACTTATCATAAGTCTTATTTTCCATTTAACATCATATACTAAATAATGTGCACTCACCTTAGCTTTGCTTTGATTCGATTCTAATCATTCAATTAATTCAGAACGAGATCATGTTCTATATCTACATAATCATACATAGATCTATATTAGTATTATAACTAATATACTCTAATGGTTCACTCTTTAGATTAAGAAAAATGCCAATTTCATCTTTCAATGAAAGTATGCATCGATGCACTACTGATGCATCGGTGCATAAAATGCATTCGATGTTGTATTATCACTGGGATGCATCGATGCATGCCTTATGCATCGATGCAATAATTGCATTCGATGTTTCTATATGAATTCATGCATTTTACTATTGGAAATAGACTTATCATAAGTCTTATTTTCCATTTAACATCATATACTAAATAATGTGCACTCACCTTAGCTTTGCTTTGATTCGATTCTAATCATTCAATTGATTCAGAACGGGATCACTTTCTATATCTACATAATCATACATAGATCTATATTAGTATTATAACTAATATACTCTAATGGTTCACTCTTTAGATTAAGAAAAATGCCAATTTCATCTTTCAATGAAAGTATGCATCGATGCACTACTGATGCATCGGTGCATAAAATGCATTCGATGTTGTATTATCACTGGGATGCATCGATGCATGCCTTATGCATCGATGCAATAATTGCATTCGATGTTTCTATTTTAAAAGAGTGCATCGATGCACTACCTGTGCATCGATACACCTTCAAACAAATTTCTGGGTTTTAACCTTGATGCATCGATGCACTCTGCCCAGAACCTCTTTTTGAACCCAAAAATCATCAACTCTTCACTCAAATGCTTCATATTTCATCCCTTTTCATATTCCTAACTTTCATATACATGTTTAAACTCATTTATAATCAGTTATCTCGTCTTTAACCTTAATATCCTCTCCTCTTTATTAACTTCAAGAATCATACCAGAATTTTAACATGTTTTAAATCTAATTCTAACACTCCATATTCCTTAATTAGATTGATGACAAGTCAAATTCCTTCTCAAAATTCACTTACTAACTCTTTTCCAGAATTTCCTTAAGAAACTCATTTTCTTTAATCTTTCATAACTTCTTTATCTTTTGATTTTAGGACAACTTAAGTTTTCCATAAGCTTAAGTATTACCTAATGATCAAAACCCACTCTTAAAATTAACAAATAATCAGCTAACAAGGAATCTTACCTTTGCAAGCTTGGCTCTTTCTTTCTCTCGTACATGAAGAAGAAGAAGAAGAAAATGAAGAGAATATCTCTTCATCCATATCCCCTCTAACTTATATATCCTTATCATATTTATTTTTAATTCATTTATTAGTCAAATGACCATTTTGTCCTCTACTTCATTGATAATTACTAACAACTTTTAGGATTTATTTCCAGATAAATCATTGAACTAATCCATTCTTCTACTTTAATCACCAAATTCTGAAACTTTACCATTTAGTCACTAACCCATAGTTTGGGATGTTACACAGGCAGATTGGGATTTTGAATGTCTACGAGCCGAACGTTCAAGGCGAAAGACGGGATTTTTTCGCGCTATTGAAAGCTATCATTTCTGATTGGAGGATCCCGGTGATAGTAGGAGGTGATTTTAATTGTGTTAGGTAGAAGTCTGAAGGAATTGGGGCTCAAGATCAAAGGTCTGCGTCTAGGTTATTCGAAGATTTTATTTCTGACTGTAATTTGTTCGAGGTTCCTAATCAGGGTAGTTTATTCACTTGGTTTAGGGGTGGAGGGTTAGTTGGTGCTAGTAGGCTTGACAGTTTTTTGTTATCTCCTGAATTATTCAGTTGTTATCCTTATTTGGTGCAATGCTCTTTGCCTCGAAGTTTATCGGACCACAAGCCGATTATCCTAAAAGAAAAGTCGTTAAACAAGATTTTTAGACCTTTCAAATGGTTTAATTATTGGGCCGATGATTCGATTCTGGTCGATAGAATTAAAGTGCTAAGTGAAGTTAACAAAGGCATCGGTATCAACAAATTTTTACTATTGACGAAGAACTTGACAAAGGAGAGAGCGAGAGAAGTCAGAGCTTTGAAAGCTGATTCTGTAGAAGAGATTAGCAGAAATATTGATTTGTTAGAAGAAAAATTATTGTCTGACCCATGTAATAGTCACTTGCAGCAGGAGATTTCTTCGTCAAAGGCTAACATGTGGGCTGTTACAAGGAAGGTTGAAAGAGAATGGCTTCAAAAATCTAGGCTCAAGTGGTTTAAGGAAGGGGATAAAAATACAAAATTCTTCCATCTCACAGCTGTTTTAAGGGGTCGTAAAAATCAGATTTCCAAGCTGAAGTTTCAGAATGTGATTTTCAAGAATCAGGCGAGTATAAAGAGAGTGTTTGTCAACTATTTTTTTGCTGGTTACAATGAGGTCAAAACGATTCCTCTAAATAAATTCGACATCCCTCTAAAGAGAATTAACTATGTCTCTAGGAGGTTTTTGGAGAGTCCTTTTTTGGAAGAGGAGGTTTAGCTTTCTGTTATGTCGTCAGACGACTCAAGAGCGCCAGGTCCCGATGGTTTTAGTCTGGACTTCTTCAAGAGATTTTGGATGCTTATCAAAGGAGAGGTTATGAAGTTTATGGAAGATTTCTACTGGGGAAAAGTTGATGACCTCTCTTTCAATAAATCTTTTATTGCGCTTATCCCGAAGAAAGTAGAGGTTATTTCCCCAGAGGATTTCAGACCAATCTCATTAGTGGGCAGCATATACAAGATAGTTTCTCGCATTTTGTCTAAGAGGTTGGCCATCTGTCTTTCTGATGTGGTTGGGCAGCATTAGTTTACTTTTATTGCTGGGAAACAAATTGCCGATTGCAGTCTGATTGCTAATGAAGTTATTGATGGGTTGTCTAAAAAAAAAAAAGAAGCGGTGTTGATCAAGGCTGACTTTAGCAAAGCTTTTGATACGGTTGATTGGAAGTTTCTGCTTTTGATCCTAAAGAACATGGGGTTTGGGAAACAATGGAGAAAATGGGTCTCCTTATGTATTTCTACGCCTTCAATTTTCGTCTTAGTCAATGGATGTCCGTCAAACTCTTTCTTTATCAAGAGGGGCCTTAGGCAAGGTTGTCCGTTGTCGCCGCTGCTTTTCAATATTGCTGGTGAGGCGTTAAGTGGTATGTTTAAAAAGGCTTCGGATATTAGTCTATGCCGTGGTGTGGTTGTTGGGTCTGGTGATTTAAATTTAACCTACCTCCAATTCGCTGACGATTTACTCATTTTTTCTAAAGCTAATGTGAATTCCATTTCTAATTTCTATCGGATTCTTAGAATTTTTGAAGTGGCAGCTGGTCTTAAGCTCAATTTTTCTAAAACATCGTTATTCGGCATCAATTTGGATGTTTATAGAGTCAAGAGCTGGGCTGAATTTTTTCATTGTAGCTGGGCACAACTTCCGACGACTTATTTGGGTTTGCCTTTAGGGCATCGGAATAACTCTAAGATGCTTTGGCAACCTATCTTGGATAAAGTCAATAGTCGGCTTCAAGGTTGGAAAGGTAAATTACTTTCGCTAGGTGGTAGGATAACTCTTATTCAATCCGTCCTAGCCAATTTGCCTGTTTATTTTATATCAATCTTCTTCATTCCTAAGTCTATTGCTGATCAGATTAATAGAAGCATTGCTAATTTCGTCTGGAACTCTAAATCGGCAAAGTGCATTCATTGGATTAAGTGGGACAGTTTATGTAAACCAAAATCTCACGGGGGTCTGGGGTTTTTTTATATTAAAATTAGAAATCGTTCTTTGTTAAATAAGTGGATTTGGAGGTATAGTTTGGAAAAGGATAGCTTATGGAGGAAGATTGTTGAAGCTAAGTACAATTATGATCAAGACGCAATCATTCCAAAAGCTGTTAACAAGAGATCTTCTTTGTGGGTGTGGCGCGGTATTGTGAATCTTGTTGGGTCTTTGGACTTTGATTTCTTGGCGGATTTGAGGTGTGTTATGGGTAATGGGGTTAATATAGATTTCTGGTCTGATTTTTGGTCTGAAAAACCTTTCTTTAAAAAGCTCGTTCCCCTGTATTTTCAGTATAGCTGTTAAAAAATTCGGTAAGATTAAAGATTTTGGTTGTTGGGTTTAAGGTCGTTGGGAATGTAGGATTCTATTGAGAAGAACTTTTTTTGATTGGGAACTGCCTATATGGGATGATTTCTTGCTCGTTTTAAGCAGAACGGTTCCTGCAGTTTTTGGCCCGGACAGATTAGTATGGCATGGTTCGTCAGACGGTATTTATAATCCAAAAGATTATTGCTTTAAAGTGGCCACTGAAGGTTTGCTGGATGATCCTGTGTGGAGCCTAGTTTTGTCCAAACTTGTGCCGCCTAAGGTCACTGCTTTTGTGTAGAAAGCAGTGCATTTTAGATTGCCAGTTATGGTAGAGCTGATAAAAAGGGGTGTCAATTGTTCTGATCAGGTTTGTTGTTTTTTTGTAACCTTGAGCCAGAATCGATCAATCACGTTCTATGCCATTGTTCTGTTGTTTGGGAAGCTTGGCAAAGATGGTGCTCGGTATGGAATGTTTCTTTAGTGTTTCCTAGGGATGTCAAACATTTGATTCAGGTTTGGTTATCACAACATATTAGGAAGAGTGTAAGGGCGCTTTGGCGTATCGGCTTCTTCGGTTTCATTTGGGTTACTTGGATTTGGAAATAATTACATATTTAAGGGTTCTTCATGTTTGTCTGATCAGATTTTTAACAAAGCTTTGCTTCAGATAGGTCTATGGGCGAATTTCTCTTGGCCGTTGAAGTTTCCTGTGGTCTCTGATTTTATTTGGAACCCGGAAGCTATTGTTCGAGGTGCTTTCTAATGGAGTTGATGTTCTTTCAGTGCTGCAAGATTTTGATTGGGGTGGTCCAATTCGGCTATAGTTTCTGTTAGTGGTCGCAATTCGGCTATAGTTTCGTCGATTTCTGCTGCTTGCCTAAGTCTTCTGCTTTGTTCTTTAATGTTCCAGTTGTTCTCTGCTGGTTGTTTTGTTTGCGTTGGTTTTGCTCGTGTTTTGGGGGTGGTTCTTGTTTATGTCGTTTTAAATTTTCGATGTTAGCTACTTGTTCTAATGATCTCTTCACTCCAGGGTATACTCTTTTTCCTCCAAATAGGTCTAGGGAGGTTTTTTAATGAGACCCTTGGAGTGATCACTTTGTTATTTCAATCATACAAAGTACCTGTTTTAAAAAAAATGAGATATTTCTTAATGGGTTTTTACCTATTTTGTAATAAAATTAAAATTTATTATTTATTATATAATTTTTAAAAGCTAAATGTTTAAAATGATAATTTTGACATAATTTAATGACTATTTGTACATTTTACCTCTTAAAATAATTGGGGAATGACAATCAATTTCATAGATTATACACTTAAGCAAGGTCAGAGGTTCGAATCCTGACGTTTGCGAATGGAGTAAACTGAGTTGGGATCGCCCTCGCCTATGCAGTACCCGATCTGGTTTAGTCGGTCAATAGATCGGATACTAGTGATTAATTCAAAAAAAATCCATAGATTCTAGAATTTTCCAATACAAGTATATATAATTCTCAAAATGAAAAAACCGAACTGTAATATTTGAGTAATTTAACCGTAAACTCAACCTACGGCTAGTTTCTTTTCCATATAAATTACTCATGATTCTTGATCTGTTGCATGAAAAAACAATCAATTATACCTAATCACGTTTAAATTTCTACAAATCTTTTTTTTATTAATTTCTACAAATCTTGAATGATATAATAATAATATTAATTAAATTAATGTTGATCTACTAATTAAACTTTTTTTAATAATTTGAAGTGATTATAAGATAATATATGTTTAATTTTTTCAATTTATTGACAACACATACACACCTTATCGGTTAATTTCTTTTTATAAATTCTAAATATAATTCTCATACTTCTTAGAGGAGAGGGAAAGAGGAAAGAATGAGAGTGCTCTTAGAGTCAGTTTGACAGAGCTTTTGAAAAGTGATTTTTGAAAGTACGGTAGAAAAGAACTTGTAAAAGTATTATTTAAAAGTATGATTTAAAATTTAACTGTTTGATATTATTGTTAAAAATTGAGTTTGAAAAGATAATATCCATTAAAGACATTATATTGTAAATTAAAAATATAGAATTTAAATTATATCTACACTTATTAATACTATGATATATAAAAAAATTATTAAGTAATAAATAATTAAAATAAATTATTAAAATAATAAATTATTTTTTTAAGGACGTTAATATTAAATTACTAAAATAAAATATAACTACATAATTGAGTTGAGTCTATACATTAATAAGACTAAAATTATAATTTGTTTCCAAACGTAAAGTTGAAAATGAAAAAGCTACAAATTCTAGTTTTTGTGTTTGGTTTGAAACTACAGTTTACACCGTAATTTTTTTTTTATATTTTTTACTCGTTTAACATTGATTTTGTGGTCAAAACGGATTTTTTAACTAAAAGTGTATTTAAAAAGTCACGTCAAACAGAGCCATAGTAAGTCTAGAATGCATGACCTAAATAACTATAAGGAACCAATACGAGTAACTCGAGCAACCAACTAAATATAATTACTCATTAAACTTAAATAATTTTTTAAACATCATTAAACTGAAATATTAAATTTTTACTATAACTTAAATATTATATATTAGACCAAACGTATAAGTTATATAACCTAAAACTTAGACGGTTCAACTCATGAACTAAACAAGCCCTTTAATCGGACGGCTTAATTTTGACGATAATAATTTTAAGGCTTAAGAGTTATCTTTATCCCTGTGATATACTCAATTTATCATTTTTATTCTTATTGTATTTTTTATCAATTTAACCTTTAAAATTGTTCAATTGTATCATTATATACCCTATACTTAATTTAAAACCTTAAATTATAAATCATAGGTTAAGATTTAGAGTTTATGATTTATGGTTTAGAGATTATGTGGCATAAATCATAAATCCTAAGTCCTAACTTATAATTTATAATTTAGGGTTTCAAGTTAAGAGTAAGGTATAGAACGATATAACTGAGCAACTACGAGAATTAAATTGATGCGAAAATATGATAGAGGTGAAAGTGTTAAAATAGATCTACTACATGACAAAAATTCCCTTTTACCTAATTTTAAATATAAAAACTTTTGGGAAAAATAGATGTTAAGATTAATATAAAAATTTTAACTATTTGACAAAGGGCATAGTACTTAATCTATGACAAAAGTTATGCCATAATTATCCAAACTAATTAAGAGGGTGGTGACGATGGGAATGACGGTGGCAATGGTGGTGGAGCCACCATAGAAAACACCCACGAAGACCCCTTCAATCGGGGATTTGTCGGCTTGGTGAGTGTTCTCACCTATGCCCCCCGCCCCATCCACCACATCTCCCACTATTGTTGCTCACTCCAAGTAAAGAAAAATTAGTCCGACATAAATTTAGTAGTTTATCTTTCTTATAATAGATCTTTTATA